GTTTATAAATACGTTTTGTTGTAAATACGTTTAAAAATACACAATAAAAATACAGTTTATTATATATATACGTTTCGTTGACCGGGCCGGGCCGGGCCGGGCCTATAACCGGTTACATAACCGGTCCCGGTCTTAACCGGTCCCGGTCCCAAAAAACGTCAAAAACCCTAACCGGATCATAACCGGCGGTCCCTCAACCGGTCCCTACCGGTCCCGGTCCCGGTCCTCCGTCGGTTACGGGCCGGGCCGGGCCGGGCCCATTTGGCCATCTCTAGTTTAACTTAATGAAATTATTTCATAAAACTGTTTAATACGATGGAATTCTTTCATATAATTCTTTAAATGATAAAAATTGTTTCATATATTTTTGTCTCTATGTAAAAAATGAAATTGTTTCATATATTTTTTATTTTGATAATCTTTTTCTAAAATCAATACATTAAAGATGATAATATTCATAATTAACGCTCTATACAATAAAAATGACTAATCAATCCTTATAACTAAAAAATGGAAAAAATAAAAATTATGATTGATTGAATGAGATTTATACGGTTTATACTTGTGAGATATTAGTTTTGTTGTAGAAAACTACAATTTATTTTACCGAAAATGTTAATTCAGTTGAAATTATTTTTTAAAAGTTATGCATTCTTATTAGACTTGTGAAGAATTATAATACTAGGGGTTGTTTGGTAGTTGTTGAATGATTCGGTGCAGAATGAATAAGTGGTTATAATGATTAAAAGGCTCTCATAATATAGTGTAAAATGAAATATAATTATTTGATAATTGTTTACAATGAAATTATGACCCTTAATGGTTAAGGAATGCCTATGATACAAAATCATTCAAAGAGTTTTAAAACAATTATGAAGTAGTTTTTTTTTTTGTCAAACAAGATTTAACTCTTAATAATTCAGAATCTAACTCTTAATAAAACTATTAAAAAATAAACCAAGAAGTTATTGAAAAAAGTTGGGGCAAAATCTTGCGTGAGCCTCTCATCACATAAAAGAAAAAAGGCAAATTAGATTTCTAGAATTTTGATTTCGGTGTTTTTTTCCATTTTTATTTTCATTTTTATTTTATTTTTATTTTCATTTTCAATTAATTATTGAGTCTTCAAATGAGTCGTCCCATCGTTAAAGGATATTGGAAATCTTCTCTGATCAACATTTGCGTTTTCATTTCTCTTCTTTCAACAATATATATTTATTGTTTAATTTAACGAGATTATTTCATAAAATTATTTGTTTTATTTTTTATTTTGATAAAACTTGTTTTCTAAAAATAATATATAGATTCATACAATGACAGGAGTCAAATAAGAAAATCATTGAATCATATATGATTTTACATTAAAATTATATATAAATCAGATGTGATTCACGTGATTTTAGCTATAATCTAAGGTCACAGGCCACATCGTCCATACATATTACTGTTATCGTTTTCATCTATATATCTATCTATATATATATATATAAGGGCATATTCAAGAGAGAACTGATTAGTTTGTGATAACTGTGAGATCCAATCTCAACCACAAATCAACAGATAAATTAAGAAATTAATAATTATGGTAGTTTGAGTTAAAATTATAATTAGTGGGCATTTTAGGTATTTAAAAAAAAACACATCTCTCCTCTATTCTCTCTTCTCTCTCCTCTCTCCTCTCTTATCTCTCCGACCTCCAATCTCCGGCCTTTGTTGAACAAAAATTCGTTAGGTACCAAGTAATCACAAAGATACACAATGTGATACCCATTGTGATATACTATGATATCCATTGTGATATACTGTGATACCATTTGAGTATCACTGTATATCATAATGGGTATCACATTGTGTATTTTTATAATTACTTGGTACCTGCCGGATTTTTGTTCACCAGAGGCCAGAGATTGGAGGTCGGAGAGATGAGAAAGGAGAGAGGAGTTTTTTTAAAAATATCTAAAATGTCCTCTAATTATAATTTTAACTCAAACTACCATAATTATTAATTTTCTAATTTATCCGTTGATTTGTGGTTGAGATTGGACCTCACAGTTACCACAAACTATTCAGTTCTCATTTGATTAAGTCTAATATATATATATATATATATATATATATATATATATTCGTATCGTCAAACAGCCATCACAAAAACCATCACGTTGTGTTTAAGTCGTATTTACTCTGTTGAAAAAGAAGAAGTGAAAAAATCGACCTCTATCATATTAAATGTCATTTTTTTAATGAATTCCAGATGCATATTCTTTTTATGTGGTTCATAGTATTTTGAAACTTCAATTCTTGTGGGCTTTGTTTACTTTAAAAAAGGACACAATTCAAACACCATTTCCCCTTTCCATTTCCATTTCATTTCTGCATCTCCAACCCCAACAACTCCTCCATACATTCCCAACCAACACAACAGAATGAGGAAAACCAAGAAATATTGTTATGGATTTTTTGTATTCAGCTCCATAATAATCAATATTTTGTTTACCATAAATCTCTACTTAGGTGGCGGTGGCAATGGCGGTGAGTGTGCGTTGAGTTGGAGCGAGAAAGCGGCAGCAGAGGCAGAAGCGGTTGCAGCAATTTCATGTTCAGGCCATGGCAGAGCTTATCTCGATGGTTCCGTTGATTCTGAAGGTCGACATGTTTGTGAGTGTTATGCTTGTTACGTTGGTAATGATTGCTCTCAATTATCCCCTGGTTGTGCTGCTGATGCTACCAGGTGATTCTTTATTCATTTCATTTTTATATATTTCTTTAACATTTTAATAGTTTTTTTATATAATCCTATCAAATTCCGCAAACCAAACGGACCTTCAACGTACCAAATTCACATAGATTTGCAACAATATCGTACAACTTGTGATATTTACTGTGCAGTGGGGATCCTATATTCTTGGAGCCATTCTGGATGCAACATGCAACCAACAGTGCCATTGTCATATCAGGATGGCATCGTATGAGTTACAGGTACGGTGACGATCCTTACATGTCCACAGAACTCGAAAAATACATCCGTAAAATGCATTCGATTGTCGGAAATGCAATCACCGAAGATCGTTACATCGTCTTTGGAGTTGGCTCAACACAACTCCTAAGTGCAGCTGTTTATGCTCTTTCCTCCCAAAACTCTTCTTCTCCTTCCAACGTCGTCGCTTCCATCCCGTTCTATTCGGTACCTTCCAAATCCGCTATTACAAATTACTTGTACTTTTTGTTTCGTTTTTGATTCATTTGATCGTTAGGTTATTAATTCTTTCGTCATCTACAGATATACAAGACTCAAACGGAGTTCTTTAACTCCGAGAATTTCCAATTTGGCGGAGACACAAACGCATGGCAATTGAATAACTCTACAAACAGCATGGATGTGGTTGAATTCGTAACCTCACCAAACAATCCAGATGGAGAGTTAAAGAAATCGGTTCTCGGAGGGAAGACAATATACGATCATGCCTATTATTGGCCACATTTTACACCGATCCCAGCCCCTTCGGATCATGATCTCATGCTCTTTACTCTTTCAAAGCTCACAGGCCATGCCGGTGCACGTTTTGGGTATGTATCCTTTCGCGCCATGCTTCTTATTTCATATCGTACGCTTGTTTGCCTGTTTGCATGTCAGTGTAAAATCATATGTGATACGGGTGTTGATTGTATATATGTATAGGTGGGCAGTAATAAAAGATAAGGATGTGTACGAGAAGATGTTGACATATATTGTATTGGCTGATTTGGGGATTTCAAAGGACACTCAATTAAGAGTGTTGAAGCTACTAAAAGTAGCCGTTGAAGATGAGGGAAAACCGTTTTTTGAATTTGCTTATAACAAAATGAAGGATCGTTGGGACACGTTGACTTCTATCTTCTCAAAGTCAACAAGATTTTCACTCCAACAGAGACATCCTTTGCACTGCAATTTCTTCAATGAAACTAAGCTATCGTCTCCCGGTAATTCATTTCATTCGTATAACTAAGACTACAACAAAATTGGCTTTATATGACGCTTATAATGTCTAGTCGTCATAGGAGGATACTTTATAAAACTTAAGTTTATAAAAACAAACTATAAGAACTTAAGTTTATAAAACCAAACCACAAAGTTGGTGTCTAATTGGTTTGAGCTTGACTTCAAAGGTCAAAAGTACCATGAGGTCCCAGGTTCAAATCCAAGGAGGAATAAAAATCCCCTTGTGGCCACGGAGGTTCAAATGCGGTGACTCCGGGATATCTGCAAAGCAGATGGTCGGCCTGGGATTAGTCGGCTCGCATAGCGGGTTGGATATCCAGGTTAATAGAAAAAAAGTATATAAAACCAAACTATAAAGCATCTTATCTAAAAGTGTTGCAATGAGTTTATATGATGATTATGGGCATTTTAACAAGTTTTTTAGAATAAAGTGTTGAAAAGTGTCTTATAAACCCATGTTACAAGGACATTTGTGTTTATAGAACATTTTTTCAAATATTGTCGTATAAAATAGCTAATACGACATTTTATTTAAAACCATTCTAAAAAATTTGTTGAGACGCTAAAAAGTGTTGTATAAACCTATTGTAACACTTTTACACATGACCCTTTTTGGCCGATTAGATATTTTAGGTTTCTTATAAAGCCAATTTTGTTGCAGTAAATACACCACCTCAAGCGGATAGTTGAAAATGCCCCCATCATAGAGGCAAATAAAGTGTGTTGAGTCCCTAGATGTAGTAGGCCCTCACTACAACAAAATTGGGTTTATAGGACATCCTCAATCTCTAAGCGTCCCAATAGACCGATTTATATGACTTAATTTATAGGACTAAGGTGTTGTAATAAGTTTCTATGACGCTTTTGGGCTTCTTAACAAGTTTTTAGAACATTTTTAGTACAAAATATCACATTAGCAACTTTATAGTACACTTTTGAGAAAGTGTCCTATAAACTCAATTTTTTATAGGACATTTGTTTTTATAGAACAGTTTTTCAAATAGTGTCCTATAGAGTTGCTAATGGGATGTTTTATATTAAAAGTATTCTAAAAAACTTATTACGACGTCAAAAAATGTCATATAAACTTATTACAACGCCCTTCGATAAAACGCTTTATTTTTTTGGTCCTATAAAGAGGTCTATTATGACGCTTTGGAATTGGGAGTGACCTATAAACCCGATTTTGTTGTAGAGCCTAACTCTGATACCATGTGAGCATATATGAAACCCTTTGGAATCACTCTCTATAAGAACCTAAAAAACGGTTCCTACACATATATGAATTTGATAATTCATGTATAGCCGAAGTAGGACTCCAACAGTCCGGTTGATATAAAAACTGCATCATGTCATAGTCTAATCTAATACGATTCTTTAATGGTTATATGAACGTTGTGAACCCATATGTCTTGACAACCATTTCAGCTTATGCATGGGTAAAATGTGAGCGAGAAGAAGATTGTGGCACAGTGCTGGAAGCAGCAAACATCTTAGGTCGTGTTGGAAGTGTGTTCAGTGACAATGATCGTTATGTTCGACTTAGTCTCATCAAGAGCCAAGACGACTTTGAATTACTCGTGCAACGACTCACGGAGCTAGTGTCTCTTGAAAATGGTAGCGTCGAAACAATGTGAAAGGCTCAAATGAAAACTCTTGGGTCATTGTTGGGGAATTATTCATCTTGTTGCTTGTAAAGATTAAGTAATTGATTTGTTATAAAGTGTAAAATTCGACATTTATACAATAAAGAATATACGGGGGTGTGTGTGTGGCGTTTTGAATGTGTTTAATGTCGTTCTTACGAAAGAATTTTATCTCCTCTTGAAGACAAACATTTATAAACTAATAAACAAAATACAAAATACAACATCCTCAGACACCAGGACCTCAATACTTTGTTACAAATTTTTATTTAATTTGATATAACAGAAGAATCTGTTTTATACTGATAATGTATAGAATCTTAAATCATAACAAAATTATTTATATGTTTAAAATTTCACATTTTGGGTATACAGATAAAGGTTTTTAAAATTAGATATAAGATAACGAAAAGACCAAAAAGATGAAAATTTCCCTTCTAAGAGAGGAAATAAACGGAGTTAGTTACGAGGGACTACTTTCAGAACAAAATGAAAATCATAAGGACGCTTTCTAAACTTATCAAAATTTAGGTTTCACTTTCAAACTTTTCACTAAACTTGAAGGACCAAAATTAGAGCTTATTTTTTCTTTTAGTTGTTATTTAATATTTATAATATTATTGATTTGATAAACCAATATTTTTTGTTTTTTCATTTTTTTTTTTTTGCATTTTATTATTTTATATATCTATTGTTATTTGTTAATTATTTGTTTTCAATTTACTAACTGTTTTTTGATTTGGATTTGCTATTTTGATTTAGGATTTGTTACCGATTTGTCTTTTAACTATGATTTCTTGGTTTTCTGTTATTTGATTTCTTTTTAACTGAATCTAATTTTTTGGCCTCTTGCTCTATGATTCTTGCTACTAACTATTGAATTATATGTTCGCTAACTGTTACACATCGTGATTAATTTTTCACCAGGTTTGTTATAAATTGGTTAATGTTAAATGCGCAAATTGGTTTGATGATTTGTTCGTCTAGTCACCTGATTCATCACGAGTATAATCAAATTATTCACCTTGTGAACACCTAGAGCTGTAAATGAACCGAGCGAACACGAACGGAGGCTTGTTCATGTTCGTCCGTTTAACTTAACAAAACAAACGAACGAACACAAACTGTAAACGAACGAAAATCCTTGTGTTCATGTTCGTTCATTTAGAAATCAGTTGTGTTCGTGTTCGTTTATGTTCGTTCGTTAACATGCTAAACAAACGAACGGGCTAAACGAACATAAATAAATATTATTTGAATTAAATTAAATAAACAAAAGTTTATATATTAAATTTAATATATAAGCGACATGAAAATGAATAAACGGGACTCTTGTTAATGTTCGTTCGTTTAACTAAACGAACATAAATAAATATTATTTGAATTAAATTAAATAAACAAAAGTTTATATATTAAATTTAATATATAAGCGACATGAAAATGAATAAACGGGACTCTTGTTAATGTTCGTTCGTTTAACTAAACGAACAAAAAAAATAGTCCATGTCCGTTCCTTTATTACATAAACGAACTTTCCGTCGAACGGTTCGCTGAACATTCGGTTTGTTTACAGCCTCATTAACACCTATTAAATCAAAAGAAAGAAACATAAGCAATCATCGAAGATTTTCTTGTTGAATTTTTGATATGCCAACCCAAGCCCAAGCCCAAGCCCAAGAAGCAAACCCAATTATGTGGACCAGCTGAAGCTTCTGTCTCCTTGAATATATTTAGTCGCGTATTTTCAACAAAGTGGGTGGCTAATGGCTTGCTCAAAATTCTTTCCTTGAGCAGTTTTGCCAAGATTAAGGGCAATTTATCAAACACTTATCCGATAAGAGCTTACTAGTAAAATTTAATACTATCGTTTACTTGCCGATTAAGATTTTAGTTCATTAAAACGGTATCATATGCAATAATTTATCCAGTAAGCGTTTACCATGGTAAGAGTCTGTCGCCTTCACTTACCGGGTAAGACTCTTGGTCCATGTCTCGTTCTTACCGAGTAAGATTATTGGTCCTTACATATTCATCCGGTAAGGTAATGTAACTTAGTATTCACTTACCCGAGTAAGCGTTTGGTAAACGGCTCCTTAATCATTTTTGGAGAGCTTTTACCTTGATATACTCTTGAAAAATAAAAATATTGGAATTTAGATTTTTAAAATTTTGTGTTAGGATGTTTTTTCCATTTTCAACTGCAATAATTCTAGGAATTAGAAGAAGATACGTGTATAAGCCTATTTATTGTTTTAAAAACTATCACATGGGAATTAATTAAGGAAAAGGTCCATCTTTTTTATCATATTACATGTCATGGTTTCTAGAATAATTCTAGAAATGCATATTTTAATGTCATTACCAGTATTCTGAAACTTCAATTCTAGTTGACTTTGATTAGTTGAGAAACACATGATTCACAGCATTTTCCCTTTCCATTTCATTTCTGCATCTCCAAACCCAACAACTCCTCCATAGAATGAGGAAAACCAAGAAATATTGTTATGGATTTTGTGTATTCACTTCCATAATAATCAATATCTTGTTTACCATAAATCTCTACTTCGGTGGCGGTGGCGGTGGCGGTGGCGGTGGGTGTGGGTTGAGTTGGAGTGAGAAAGCGGCGGCGGAGGCGGAAGCGGTTGCAGCAATTTCATGTTCAGGCCATGGCAGAGCTTATCTCGATGGTTCTGTTGATTCTGATGGTCGACCCGTTTGTGAGTGTTATGCTTGTCACGTTGGTATTGATTGCTCTCAATTATCTCCTGGTTGTGCTGCAGATGCTGATAGGTGATTCTTAATTCATATTTTTCATGCTTGAGAAAACAATATCGAGTAAGTTCCGAGTCTAGTCGATTTAAGACTTCAAAGACTTAAAATCTGAATATGTAATTATTACACTTTTTAATTAACAAAAAAACAATTTCACACTTAATTATTGAAAGATAAATTCTCTTATTCTTATAATTAATGGTAGAATGAGAAAGTAAACATTACTTCTGAAAGTAGATACTTATTTTAGAACAAAATAAAATAGTAATGTGGACACTTATTTTGAGACGGAAGGAATAATAAATATGAACATCTGTATTGCTTTTTAAGCACTAGTGACAATAAGCAATGAGGTGTTATTATAAGGTACGTTTCGAGAAAGGTTGTGAAAACTAATTGTAGCTTTTTGTTTGAGAAAACTATATTTCTGGTCTCTATAGTTCGTTAAAAATCGAGAATATTGTTTTTGTAGTTCGTTTTTACATCGATGATCCATGTGATCTACAAATTCTTATGAATTTGGTAGTTTGCATGTTTATTTTACTTGTTTTCTTTATTTAGATGGTATTTATGTCTTAGTGATTATAGTTAGAAATTATAATTGAAGTCAACCGACTCACATGGAATATATTATATATATATATATATAGAGAGAGAGAATATTACTTTGCAAACCATGTTATTTGTACAAATCGTACAAACCACATTCAACCAATCATAATTTTTCATTTTGTTCAATTTTTTGTAATTATAAGAGGTTGATTAATCATGGATATTATAATCTTCATTATATTAATTTTAGAAAAATATATGAAACAACTTCATTAAAATTTCATAACCATATATCAAAAAAAAAAGAATTATATGAAACAATTTCGTAAACATCAAATAGTTTCATAAAAAGGTTTCATAAGATTAAACAATGAAATCGACGGATGAAGGTGGTTTGTATGGTTTGTACAAATATTGGTCTCGTCTCCCTATTAACCTCATGTTGTGATAACATAAAAACTTTAAATTCAAAATGAAATTAAAACAATTCAAAAAAAATTGAGAGGCAAAAGGATAATATTGAAATTCAAAGTGATAAAATTTTAAAAACATGATCACATTAAACCCAATAATCTGGATAACATAATGGGCTATTTTGGTTATCGTTTATTTCAACACGATTTGGTATGATTTGGGTGTGATATGGGTGTAATAATCATGTGATTATCACACAACTATCACAAGGATTCCGCTCGGCTAGGGTTAACTTAGGAAATCAACTACCGATTTGGTGTGATATGGGTGTGATAATCATGTGATATCACTATCATAACAGCGCACTCAATTTGATCATGGTTTCGATCGGTTAGGGTTAGACAATCACACATTTATCACAACGATTACTCATGGTTTGGATAGGTTATGGTTACACTCGATTGATTATGGTTTCGATAGGTTATGGTTATACTCGATTGATTATGGTTTCGATAGGTTATGGTTATACAATGACACAATTATCACAAGGGAAGAGAAGAGAGTGGAAACAAACGTGGTCAATCCAGGAAAAAAAGGATTATTATAATTAATTAAAATAAACTAAAATAAAAATTACTTAATTACACTACTGCCTTTATTAATTTATTTATATTTAACATAAGTTAATTTATTAATTAAAAAAGTTTGAGGTTATTGGATTGTTCTTGTGTTCTCGTAAATCATAGGGGTTCCCGTTTGAACCTCCGCCTATGTATGTATGTGTGTGTGTGTGTGTGTGTGTGTGTATATATATATATATATATATATGTATGTATGTAGGGTTGGGTTCACGTGAGACCAAGGATTTTTCATGAGACCCGTAAGATCAATTTATGTGCATTGATCAACTTTATAAGTTAATGATCTAATGGTCTAAAGTTGTACGGTGGCAATTTTGTGATTATTGAGAAGTTTCGTGGCAATTTTATGATTATGAATGTTCATATTGTAGATCTAATCCAATGGTTGAGAATTGGTGTTACGGGTCTCACGAAAAACCTTTGGTCTCACATGATCCTAAGTCTATGTATATGTATGTATAGAGGGTTGGGTTGTCTCTACGTTCAACTACTTTTATTTACTTATTTCTATCATTATGACTTAAACTTTAACAGATTTATTATATCTCGATTACTTTAATATGTGTTGAAACTTGTCTTCTATTTCTAAGAGTTTTTAGAGAGTAATTTGATGGGATTCTACATGTAACCGGCTCTATTCTAAAAACTTGTGATATTTACGGTACAGTGGGGATCCTATATTCTTGGAGCCATTTTGGATGCAACATCCAACCAACAGTGCCATCCTCGTATCAGGGTGGCACCGTATGAGTTACGGATACAATGACAAGTCTTACATGTCTGTGGAGCTCGAAAACTACATTCGTAAATTGCATTCAATTGTCGGAAATGCGATCACCGAAGACAGATACATTGTTTTCGGTATCGGTTCATCCCAACTCCTTAATGCAGCTGTTTATGCCCTTTCCTCCGAAACCTCTTCTTCTCCTTCCAATGTCGTTGCTTCCATCCCATTTTATCCGGTACCTTTTAGATCCGCTATTACGGATTATCACTTCCATTTTTCGTTTTTGGTTCAATTGATCATTACGTTTATTAATTGCTTTGTGATCTACAGATGTACAGGACTCAAACAGTGTTCTTCAACTCGAAGAATTTTCAATTTCAAGGAGATACAAAAGCATGGCAATTGAATAACTCTACAAACATGGATGTGGTTGAATTTGTAACATCACCAAACAATCCAGATGGGGAGTTAAAGAAATCGGTTCTCGGAGGGAAGACCATATACGACCATGCCTATTTTTGGCCACATTTTACACCGGTCCCAGCCCCTTCAGATCAGGATCTCATGCTCTTTACGCTTTCAAAGCTCACAGGTCATGCCGGTTCACGTTTTGGGTATGTTTCCTATTGTGTCGTGTTTCTTATTTCATGTCGTACGCTTGTTTGCCTGTTTGCATGTCACTAGAGAAAGTCAAAATAAGAAAATACGAAGACACTTATATCACATATAATTAATAAAGAGGGTTAAATCACGTAGGTCGTGTGGCCACCACTATTGGTTTGACCTTGTCCCCTAATCACATGTGATTACGTTAAAATCACATGTGATTTGACTGTAACTTAAGCTTGAATATGGTGAACATATTTTATACATGGGTAATCTTTATGTGTGTGTGTTGTATATATATAGGTGGGCGGTGATAAAAGATAAGGATGTATACGAGAAGATGTTGGCATATATCAAGGTGGCTGATTTGGGGATTTCAAAGGACACTCAATTAAGAGTTTTGAAGCTCCTAAAAGTAGTCGTTGAAGATGAGGGAAAAACGTTTTTCAAATTTGCATATAACAAAATGAAGGATCGTTGGGACGCGTTGACTTCTGTGTTCTCGAAGTCGACAAGATTTTCAATCCAACATAGACATCCTTTACAGTGCACTTTCTTCAACGAAACTAGGCTAGCGTCTCCAGGTAATTTTATTTCATTCGTATAACTTTGAGTCTCGTTACATATTACTCTAATCCCATGAAACTTGCAACTGCGACGAACGTGGGACATCTTTGGATATTCCCTCTACCAAAGATCCCTTACGGACACAATAATATTGTCTCTATCACCTTAGATGGTTCTAGACTTCTTCTTGACTCATGGCTTCTAACTCTGAGTCAGTTGTAACTGCTCTTAAATCTTATTCGTTTAACTGCTCATTACTGTCAGTCTTTCATATGAATGTGTGAACGAGAATCTGGTTGTATATAAGAACTCGATTTTACAGGCTGTAAGAAAAAAGTTTCATTTGAATTATCCCAATACGGAATTCATGATACCCAAGGTAATAAGGTTCGAAATATCATATTCGGAAAGCGAAATTTCCACGATCCAAGTGATTATCTGCTCCACTTATCACCTCGAATCCATATTCCTAGCATAGTAGGGCCTAGCTCTAATACCATATATATATATATATATATGAGCATACGTAGAACCCTTTGAAATCACTCTCTATAACGAAGAAGAACCTAGAAAGAGGTGTCCCTACATATATATATATATATATATATATATATTAATGGTTCGTGTCGAGCCGATGTACGACCCCAACAATCTGGTTAGGTCAATAAAGATTGCATCATCTCATAATCTAAGCTAACGTGCCCTTTTATGGTTAAATGAACGATGTAACCCCATATGTCTTGACAATCATTGCAGCTTATGCATGGGTAAAATGTGAGCGAGAAGAAGAAGATGATTGTAAAGCAGTGCTAGAAGCAGCAAACATCATAGGTCGTGCCGGAAGTATGTTCAGTGACAAAGATCGTCATGTCCGGCTTAGTCTCATCAAGAGCCAAGACGACTTTGATTTACTCTTGCAACGACTCACGGAGCTAGTGTCTCTTGAAAATGGTAGCATCCAAACAATGTGAAAGGCTCAAATCAATCATCGTTTTTTTTTTTCCGTTTGAAAGGCCCAAATGAAACTTTTCGGTCATTTTCAAGCATTATTCGTCTCGTTACTTGTAAAAAAAACTAAAAATGAAGTAATTGATTTGTTATAATGTGTAAAAGTTGACATTTATATAATAAAGAATACGCGTTGTATGCATTTTGGTGTTTTGAATGCGTTGTTGTTCTTACGAGATACTAATTCTAACTCTTGAGAACAACATGTAATCAGGGGCAAAACAAATATAATTTGTTGGTGATTTTAGTGATATCATTGGTTCATTTTTATGTAATTGGATTCACAAGAGAATACGGAGTTGTTGGTTGAGCTATATCACAGCCTAACTAGAACCCGGGATCGATGGATGGTGCCATATGGCAGAGTCAAGGGGGTTGTTCCCCTGACAGATTTGGGTCAAAACTCGAATTTATAAATTAAAAGAAATGCAAGCTTTTATGCGATCTCGGTTTTATTGGAGCATTTTCATTCACTGTTTTTTCCTCTAATTGCTCGATATCCTCCAACGTAATTGAATTTGTTTCAGAGAATCATAAATATATTGCTACATTTGCAATCCGATACATCAGAAAAATCAGTTTTATAATGATTGCCTAGAGCATCTCAAGTCTTTAAAAAATACCCAATATAAATCAATCGTAAAACTAAACTTGGTTAAAAAAAGTGAGTTTGGACAGCTATTCGTTAACCAGTGGGCAAAGACAAGTGTTACACCGTTTGGGATGGCTATATTTGGCCCGTTAGAAAAAAATATGTTAGATCCCGTTCAAGCCCTCAAGGTTGGCATGGATTAAATGGGCTTGTCCTGCTTATAACTTTTGAGAACAATTCAATGTAATTCAAATAGGATTGTTCATAAAAATTGGTCATTTTGGCAAAGTTTGATAGTAAATTTTTTTTTTTTTTTTTAATGGGCAAATTACATGAAAAAGTCATGTATTTTAACTTGATTTTTATTTCGGGTAACATGCTTTCAAAACTTTCATTTTGATACCTAAGATGTAAAGTTTTAAACATTTAAATATCTGGATAATCTGTTGAAAACTAATTTTAGATTAAAACTAGACTAATTTTAGATTAAAAAAATTCATGTCATTAACCACGTCAACAAATAATACTGAGTTGAATACCGTATCAACATGATAATTGGTTAATGTTTCAACCTGTTACCAACTTACCCGGGTATTTAAATGTTTAAAATTTTACAATTTAAGTACCAAAATCGAAGTTTTGAAAATAAGTTACCAAAACTATGAACCAATTTCATGCAATTTACCCTACTTTTCATAATACTAATTTTCTAACTTTGTGATTTCATTCATGACAGAATCCAAAAAGAATTACGGAATCAAAAAAAGCATACAATTCGTGAATATGGGGCTCAAATTTGCGAATTTTGTGGCTGTGTTGCAATATGGATACTTCTTTTTGCTATTTTTTTTAAGGGTGTCCGGGCCAAAGCCCGACTAATCCCCGACAATTTTGGAGGCTAAACATGGCCCCACTTAAATGTCGCCAACACTCCCCTCCCAGGGCTCGAACTCGGGTTCATGACTATGTCATGCCCAAGCCTTACCACTAAGCTGGAAGGTCTTTGACTTTTTTGCTATTTTGAGAGTCAACTTTGTCAAAAATGGTTATCTTTGTGGATAAGATGTTTATACACAGAGGGGTATATCAAATGAGAAAATCATATATTATAAAAAGCATGAAAACTTTTACAGTGTTTTATTGTTTTATATGATATTTTTTGCCTGTTAAGATTTAAGGTATTGATCAACATATATTTGTTCACATATGTTTGTTCATATGATTTGGGTCTACACTATGAAACTTTTTACATGTATTTTTTCGTTTTACAAATAAATAAAAAAGTTTCAAATTGTGAAACAAATATATATGTCGTCCAAATATCCTAAATTTTAGCTTTAAATACAAAAAGATCATGTGAAATAATACATGACGTATTGGTGTGGATGTATCAATTGTGGGAATCAGTGAATCATGTATTGTTATATATATATATATATATATATATATATATATATATATATATATATATGGTTGGGTTCACGTGGGACCAATTTATGTTCATTGATCAACTTTATAAGCTAATGATGGTCTAAAGTTGCACGGTGACAATTTTATAATTATTGAGAAGTCTCGTGGCAATTTTGTGATTATGAATATTGAGATTATAGATCTAATCCAATGATTGAGAATTGGTCTTACGGGTCTCGCTAAAAACTTTTGGTCTCACATGATCCCAAGTCTATTGTGACATCTGTCATTTTGGAGCATCAGGTTAGCACATTTACAGGGTTTTTATATTTAGAATTATATTTTATTAGGATCTAGTCATGTTGATTAGAATTCATCTGGCTTAGTTCCCAAAGTATAGTTCAGAAAACCTTGTTTCGACGGGTAACTGATAAAGTTAATTTATGTAATGCCAAATATGTTAAAAATGCTCCAAATATAATAAAATTGATATTATAAAGTCCAAATTAAAATATAAAAGTTTCATTTGAATGTCCAAATAATTTTACAAAAAATGTGGAACTTTGATTTAATAATGATATTTTTATCAATATTTGACAAATTGTATTTTGTTATAAATTTAAATGGGCTATTTTGTTTATATGAAAAATAAAAAAAATTATGGATTTGGGCTCTAATAAGGCCAGCCCATTTCCTTTCTTTAAACCCACAAATAAATACCTCACATTTTTTGAAAACTCTCATTTTTCATCCTCCTTTTGCATAAACATTTCCTCTCCCTAATCTCTCTCTAAACCATACCCCTCCAGCCGATTTCATCTTCAAGCATCATTAAAAATCTGTCAATCTTGAAGAATATTCAAGATTTCAAGCAAAAGGTAATAGACTAGTTATCTTACCTTTATATAATAACAAAGATTCTCATTTTCTACACCTACTTCTCGTTCTTTGTAATTAATTTTTCTGGAGAATTCAAAAGGGGAGATTATACATCAAAGACATAAAAATGTCTTCAAAATGATGATAATTTATGATCCACGAACTTTGAACTCTAAGAAAGTAGGAGAAAACCACATTGCATGTGAAATTTAATCATGAAAATATGTATTTTGAAAACTGACAGATTCTGTTAGCACTTGTGTCGACTATATCTTTCAAAATAAAAGTCCAAACGTTCTGATTTTTCCTTTAAAACGTACTTTGATGAGTTATCTTTCTAATTCAACTTGTCTCACTCAAAAATATTATGTTTTGAGCTTTCAAGTTCTTGATACAAGATTATGGTGCAAAAAAAAGCATTGTTGACAGAATCTTGCATGCATCTTAAATCGGCTATATCTTCTTCAAAACTCAATGGAAATGGGTGATTCTTTTTCTGGAAGTTAGTCTGATGTGTTAGCTTTAAAATAAAATTAAAATCACTGAAAAATGATGAGTTTAGACCCCCCCAAATGGCCGTCACTCGAAGAGTGTGCAATCTATCTTGGGGACTGTGTCACTCAAAGTTGTAGGGTATTAATGAGTGCCTTAAACCCATCCAAAATTTTTGATCTTTGGGAAAAATCTGTTTAACTCATTATTATTGATGATATAAAAATTTGGACACAAAATGACTTTTGGAAGGTTCCTTTTGACAGTGATTTGTGACACCAAAAATTCCGAAAACATAATTTATATTCTGTCCAAATGACCGCTTTTTGTGCAAAGGACTTTGATTTTAAAATATATAATTTCTGGGCTATTTTTAGAGCAAATAATATAAGTATCAACTTTAATTCATAAAACCTCATTGGCATTACATAAGATATAATTTGACTTTATTTTTATTGAGACCCGTTAGGTGATCTAATTATTGGATTTCGGACTGTTTAGGAAGGTTAGGGTGGACGTTTAGCGCTTCAAACGTCATCAAGTTCTTGGATATTCATCAGTAAACTTGTGAGTATTCACGGCTCCACTTTTAATGTTTTTTGTTTATTTAAACTGGGGGAAAAGCATGAAGTTATGCAAACTATACTGTTTATTTATAAAAATGTTGGACTAAAGAACTGTTTAGTCAAGATTTGTTTGTCATGAAATATTGACTGTTTTGCACTATGATATAAATGATAAATTGATGTACTTGAGAGTATATTTCCAAATAAAGTCCCCGTTCGTAAACGCTACTTGTTAACTCGGGCATGTCCCTGAGCCGTGGTATTTGTGAATAGCCGCTATTGTGTTGACAGTCTCATCCAGAAAGGGGTGCACATTACCTATGTTTTATTAGTCTAATCATGTGGAATTTGGACCACCGCTGAATTAGTACTACTACGAACTGTGGGACCTAAGTGAGTGTACGGGTTACTTATGGTCGTTTGTAAAATAATGGGGCATATTGGTCAGGAAAGGCTCAGTCGCGTCTCAAGTTTTAAACATCGTTATAGATTTACATTTATTATGTGCAAAATTTATGTATAAATTTGCAAGAAATGATTTATGCATTGTAATGTTTTGTGCATATGAAAACCCGTGAACTCACCAACTCTTTGTAGTTGATGTTGTTTTATATTTCATGTTTTTCAGGATTTAAGTAAGAAATGAAGTTTTTGGAGCATATATGTGGCAACACCGATTAAGTTCATTTTGTATCTTTTGTAAAGAAGTATTCAAACATCAACTTGGTTATGGATGTAATCTTGTAAAACTTATGGTGTTATTTATTGTCTATTGCTGTGACACGCTTACCTGTTACATCTCGTGTTTCCGCTTTAACAGGGTGTGACATCTATATCTATATATATATATATATATATATATCTATATATATATATATATATATATAGGTGGAGGTTCAAACGAGAACCCCTGTGATTTACGAAAACGCGAGAACAACTCAATAACCACAAACTTTTTTAATTAATAAATTAACTTTT